CGTCCCATCCCGAGAAAGCTCGTGTCCGTGTCTTTTCTCAACATTGGCCTCATGGGCGAACCACGGGTACTTCACAAGATTACAGTAAGAGAATCTGAAAGCCCCTCTTCCCTTCTTTGCTTGTATTTTTCAGAAAACTTATATGGGCTGAAATACCTTTTGTTTGATGGTTGTCTAGACTGCAGCTTTTCCTCCCAAGGTCATTCCTGAATACCATTACACAAAAATACAATAAAAAGAGTGCATGCAACAATAAAAAAGGTGGCCAATTCAGTTAATACCACAAACATATTAGACATGCATAAGGGATTTCAACCACCATAGCCCAACAGCTGGAATAAGAACTGGACTTTAGGGGCCCTATGGACAACGCTCAATAAAGCAAGCTGTAGCTTCCCTACCCACCATATCATATCCCATGCACATACTATAAGGTGGCCCATTAACTCTGTGTAATCATATCCCATCCATTCCTTCTCATCTTCTGAAAAACACTGTGATTATTCTCTCACCTAAATTTGTTACTGAGAAAATACTTGTATATCTGCTATAAATCATTTCCCCTCATTGTATGCTTATGGAATAAAATTAGGACTGTGTGCAGGTATACTTATTAGTACAGATAGTCCTCGACTTACAACCATTGGTTTAGTGGCCGGTCGAAGTTCCAACGGCGCTGAAAAAAATGACTTAATAACCCTTTTCATACTTACATCCATTGCAGCACCCCTGTGGTCACATAATCAAAATCCAGATGTTTGGCAACTGCCATGTATTTATGATAGTTGCAGTGTCCCAGGGTCATATGATCACCTTTTGCAACCTCCTGACAAGCGAAGTCAATGGAGAAGCCCGGTTCATTTTATAACCATGTTATTAAATTAACCACTGCAGTGATTCACTTAACCACTCTGGCAAGAGATGTTGTAAAATGAAGCAAAACTCACTTAATGTCTTGCTGAAATTTTAGGCTGAATTGTGGATGTAAGTTGAGGGCTACCTTTATAATGCAGTAGATCAGGGGTGTCATCCAGCGGGATGGATGCGTCATGTGCTGGCCCTGCCCCCCCCCCCCCCCCCCCCCCACCGAAGGNGGCCCCTCGCTGTTGGAGTCTGGTGGCAGCTCCAACGGCTCCTGCTGGGCCACAACATGTATGGTGTATAGTAAATGAAATAGGAAAGAAATAGTTTCATATGAATATACAGTATTTTTTGCTCCATAAGACGCTCCTGACCATAAGCTGCGCCACGGTTTAGAGGAGGAAAACAAGGGGAAAAAACATATCTGCCTCTGCCTCCCAGCGTCCATCCAGTATTCATTTGGCTAGCATCCTTGCAGCAAACAGCCTGCCTCCTCCGTATTTGCTGCCTCTGCTGGAGCCTTCGCCTCCAAACAGCTGATCGGCGGTTGGATCAGCTTCCCAGAATACTGCCGATCAGCTGTTCCAGGCAGCGGGGATTGCTGCCACTGTTTGCTGCTGCTGCCTGTCGCTCATATTCGCTCCATAAGAGGCACAGACATTTCCACCCACTTTTGGAAGAAAAAAAAGTGTGTCTTATGGAACAAAAAATATGGTATGTGAAAAGTTTCCTATCTGTTTTGAAAAAGAACATCTTGATCATGAATTTACCATCTGTAAACCTGGATGGTGTTGATCAATCAATCAATCTTAACATCTTAAAAGTGGGGTGGAGAGGTTTTATCTCACTCCAGTGATGGCTGGGCAATACCGTGAAAATGTTGTAAATCCCTACAGTAATGAAATGGCCTGAATCTGTCGAATCTGTCACCACAATGTCCAAGGATAATATTGTAAGTGGATATGTTGAATTCTTTTTAGGCCGTCGCCCACTATGAACAATCTGCAGACTATTACAAAGGGGAAGAATCTAACAGGCAAGTTTCCATAAAAGACAATCTTAGTGCTGATCGTCTACATCTATATTCATTCTATTTTGTTTGGGGTTTTATTTTTTCTTGTGTGACTATGACATGAAATTTTATGATTCCCTCATTTAATGCTTTAAAAGAACATTCAGATGCCAAAACAATTTTTGGTTTGGCATTCTATTTGCAGGGCAATTGTGATATGAAAATACAGAGTTCAGAAATGTTCTTCTCATGATTAGCTAGCGAGAACAGAAATATCAGAAGATGGCTCTGTATGAATATCAACAGAATGAATCTTTACTCAAATAGGTCAGATCCTTTTAGCCAGAGTGCCACCTGACAGGGGTACGATTTGATTTTCTTACCTGTATTTCTGTGCTCTTCAGTTCATTATGCCTTTTGCTTTTAGCTCTGCCAACAAGTGTCTGCTGAAGGTAGCTATTTATGCTGCCCAGTTGGAGCAATATCCGAAAGCAGTTGAAATTTTTGAACAGGTAGGTACACTACCATTTGGTTTGTTAAGGGAGAACTGTAAATCAGAGGCACGGAGTACAAATTAATCAAAGCACTAACCTTTTTTAAAAGAGGTTTTATTAAAGTTTAATATTACAGCATAAAATACAATAAAATAAAGGTTAAAAAGGGGGGTGGGTGGGAGTGTAGGTTAAACAATTTTAAAAAGGAGAGAAAAAGATGTTGATGAGGGTAAAAGTTTGTTCTCTGAGTTTGTGGGTTGGTTTCCGAATGTTTTGTTTCCAGGCTAGGTAAATCTTCAGCAGAGTTTAGGGGATGTTAATGTCAGTGTTCTTCTGTTTATAAGGGCTTCATGTATGGGTATGTCTAGTGAGGGTCTTGTGAGACAGACATCCCCTAAACCAGAGGTGGGTTCCTACCAGTTCGCACCTATTCGGTAGAACCGGTTCATCAAATCTACTGAACCGGTTAGAAGAGGTTCCACCAGTGGACCC